AGGTGATACTGTTTGGTCCCAGTGGCCCTTGTACATCCCATCCTGTCGACTTGGGCCTCCTGTCTCCTTATCTTAAGTCAACAGTCTCAAACTTGGGCCTTAAAACTGGACAGGGATTTCAAACTTGACCGGCAAATTGGTGCCGTTGTTAAATCCAGCTTCTTTCACCTTAGACAGCTGGCCAAAGTAAAACCTCTCCTCTCTCATGAACACTTTGAGTAATTAATGCCTTTGTCACATCCCGGCTCGACTACTGCAATGCCCTTTACTTTGGAGTCAGCCAGTCCTCCATTAAGCGTCTCCAGCTGGTCCAGAATGCCGCTGCTCGCCTCTTGACTGGTACTCGTAAGAGGGAGCACATAACTCCTACTCTGGCATCCCTTCACTGGTTCCCCATACATTTTAGAGTTATTTTCAAGATCCTCTTATTTGTTTTCAAATCTCTAAATGACCTCGCGCCACCTTACCTCTCTGAGCTCATCTGCCCCTACACACCTGCCCGGCGCCTCAGGTCTGCGGACCAGACATTATTAGAAGTACCAAGAACTAAACGGAGGCTCAGAGGGGATCGAGCCTTTTCTGTTGCTGGTCCCTCTCTCTGGAATGAGCTCCCACTGAACATTCGGCAAGCCTCCTCGCTGCCCATCTTCAAAACCCGCCTCAAAACTCACTTGTATTCTTTGGCATTTGACTCAGCATGACTTAGATTTGTTCTTGGTTTTGCTGTTCGGTGCTTTCGACCATCTTTATTACCGATTTGCTTTACTGTTTGTTGTATATGTTGAATTGCTCCATGTACAGCACTTTGAATGCAGCGATGGCTGTTTGAAAGTGCTCTATAAATACAGTTGAGTTGAGTTGAGTTGAGTTAAAAGACGTTTATAATGACAATATAACACTTTGAGTGTTAAAATAAGCTTTTTTTTCTTCACATTTTCAGCTAGAGGTGTGCCGCAGGATTTTTTCAGTGAAAGAAATGTGCCTTGGCTCGAAAAAGATTGAGAATTAATGCGCCCCCCCCCCACACACACACACACACACACACACAAACACAAGCATGCTTGACTGTACACAGTGCTATCCTCTATGCTGCAACAAAACATACAGTACTGTATGTTTTATTTAGAGCCACAAGTAGACGCGAAGGATTTGGATGTACAATTTTTTTTAATGTATTGCCAAGGTATCTGATCAGGCTTGAGTAGCAAAAAAGTGTAACCAGGACATCCCTGTAAAAAAAATCTGATTTAACAAAACACAACAAAACAAAACAAAACAAAAAAAAATCCATACTCTTTTAATACATTTGTAAATTAAATAGTCCAATCACATCACGTGAATATATAATTTTCATTTGAAACATTGTCAAAACCAGTAAATTCAAAAGCTATAATGTAAGAAAAAGAAAAACACATTTACAATAGATGTGGAAGATTTCTTCTACAAGCTGTTGTCTGAACTTTTTACCAGCAGAGGATGCTAACAGATACCGCCAATGCTGCAGGGCATGCATTGTGTGCACAGTTGATGTGACATGTCAATTATCTGGAGTGGCACCTGAAGGGTCAAATTAGATTTCAGGCGATTCCACTGCTATCATGGCCCGCCTTCTACTTCATTTCACGTTACAGTTTTTAAATAAAAATAATCCGGCTCCCCCTAAAATAAGAATAATAAATAAATGTTTTTAAAATCATATTTTATTGTGCACACCTCCCCAAGTCTGCCCTGTAGTGGTGAATGGTGATACGATACAACAACTTAAAACTAGAGGTGATGCATTTTTGCAATTGGGCACCCCACTCACGAATCCGCATATTCACTTCTTTTTTTTTTTTTGTATTTTTATTTTTTGTTTTTCATAGATTTTTTTCGCTCGTTCTGCCGTTTTTCATGGAAACCGTATGTTGAATGTTTCTCACCGTTATTTGAAGAATTTGGAGGACTGTAATCACACACACTTACATACACACACTTACACGCACAGGCACACGCGTACACACGCGCGCCCCCTACTGGTTGCCAGCCAATCGCAGGGCACACAAAGACAAACAGCCACTCGCACTCAGGATAACATTATGGGACAATTTAGAGCAGGGGGGTCCAAACTTTTTGCCAAGGAGGCCAGATTTTATATGGTAAAATGTGTGTGTGTGTGTGTGTGGGGGGGGGGGGGGCTTTGAACAATATATTCAAACACATTTTAGTAAGCCAATCTGTGTTTCACATTTGCCTTTCTATTTTAATTTCAACAATCTTAAGCATGTCTTTTGGTTAATTTGAAACATGCATATTACATGCAACTGAATATTCCTGTTCCTCTCGTTTGAGTTTTCAGACTCTGGAGGTCAAGTAGTTCTACGGTAACGTTCATTTCATTGTCCATTCCCCTCAAAAAAATAAGTAACTGAGCAGCGTCAAAGGCGTTTGGGCTCTCGTCGCAAGTCAGCAAAAAAAAAAAAAAAAAAAAAGGTCAAACTTCTTTCCTCTGTCTCTCGATTGTCTTTTGATGTCCGATGACACTTCTTCAATCCTGCGTGCCACAGTATTACATGCCAGGCAGACTTTGGCTGCTTCTCAGGACAGATTTTCTTCTCCATCGTCATCACGCAGTCTTTGATAAATTCACCTTCATTGAAAGGTTTGGAATGCTTTGCGATCGGCGCTGCTACCGCGTAACTCACCACTGTGGCGCTCTCATTTGACTCTCGGGCTCTTGTAAAATACTGCTGCTGTGAGATTAAATTACTTTCAAGTAGTTTCCTTCCCCGTAATCTTGACGTACATCTCAGCTTGTCTCGTTTGATAACGTCACTTGACATTATACTCTTTAAAAACAGCCACTGTCTCTTTGCAAATGAGGCAGACGCAGTTGTTGCATATTTCAGTGAATAAATAGTCAAATTTCTGTCCATCCGTGAAGCGTCGTTCCTCGTAGTCAACTTTCCTCTTTTTGTTGATTGTTGCCATTTTAGAAAATTAGGGGATAAAGTGTCACATGGGGTGAAGTCGCGTAGACTGCTGCTGCCATCCAGTGGCTAAATGAGTCATAGCATTTAGTGTGTTCCTTCTATGACGCGCGTGCGCATTGCGCACAACTTGCGCGAGCCAGACGTCACTGATTTTATGACAGAGGCCGAGGGCCGGATGAAATTCGACAACGGGCTGCATTTGGCCCCCGGGCCGGACTTTGGAAATATCTGATTTAGAGTGTTCCATTAATCTGCCAAGCATGTTTTTGAAATGTGGGAAGAAACCGCAGTACCCAGAGGGAAAAAAAAAAACACGCAGGCATGGAGAGATCATGCAAATTCCACACAGGAAGGCCGGAGCCGGAATCGAACCCTGCACCTCGGCACTATGAAGCCAACCAGTTGACACCGGGCGGCGCCAGTTTGGGATGTCAATGAAAAATGGTAATTCTTCCGTGATGTTTGTCAGTTTGAGATTGTGGAAATGAACTCCAGAGGTCTTTCATTTCATGTTTCTGCAACTGGTAAATGACAGGAAAGTCATTGATGTACAGTATTGTATATTGATTGTCGGGAAAGGCAGTTGGTAAGGGAGGCTTGATGCTGACTGTAGCGCCCTCAGGATGCGACATGAATGACGACACGAAGTGAAAATGAAAAACAGGTTTTAATTCCTGGCAACCCGTGAGAACTGGTCCCACGAACATGAAACATACAAAACAAGTGGCATTACAAAACAAATAAAAGACAAAACCATTAAGACAATTGATTTAACAGAAGATGCACACAAACCTCGTGGGCTCACACTCATAAGGGGCTAAACACGCCGAAATCCCGCCTGTACAGTACAGTAAGTTCTCGGCCCTCTCGTCGTCTTACAAAAATGGCTGCGCAGAGCTCACAAAACGTGTTTAAGTGTGCGCCAGTGAATGCGCACGGCAACTCGTGTCTGGTGGCACCTTTCTTTGCGATAATTGGTTATGACCCACAATCGCCACTAGATGGCATTAGAACACCAACGGTAAAACAGCTTTATGGGAACTATGGACAGTACACTGACAGTGATTTGAGTTGTCGTGTGAAGGGTGGAGCACAGGTTGTTGATGGCACATGTGTCGTGACTGTGAAAAATCAAACACATGCAGGAGCAGCAGTACACTTGAACCCACTCCTGTGCTGTCAAATCACATTGACAGGGCGGGTAACATTCTTATGTTAATGACTCGTTCATATTGCTCCAAGACATGTTTCTCAAAGGCGATTGCATTTTTTTGTGTGTTTGGTAAATTGTTGGGGTGTGAAATTAGAAACGAGCCAAATACACTTTTTTTCCACTCAAAGAAAATATTAACTCACCAGCTCAATTAAGCCCTTGAGTGCAAGGACATTTTTTGTCATTAGTCTTCAATAGCATCAGTCAATATGTTCTGCGTTTTTATCGTTTGTGTAGTGATAGCATCGTAGTTAATTCATCTGACTTCCGTGTAGGCAACGTGGATTCAGTTCGGCAAATATTTGTCTGTCCCGGCATGTTCCGTGTGGTTGACTCATGGCAACCAATCAAGGTCGAGTCTGAATTTTGGCTGTCAGCTGGGATAGGCTTCAGTACCCCATGACCCAGAACATGAATAAGCGATTTAGATAATGGGTGGACGGATATTTTTTTTCCCCAGTTGATTGAGCAACTCCAGTTTCTTTTGTGAAAAGCGATGAGCGAATTTACGGAATTAACATTCTGAACTTGTCTAACGTGTCATGTGACGACCTACAAAATTCCAACACTGTCAACCCGAGCTATAAAATGTTTGTTGGTCATCATTGCCAGCATCCAAACGTCAAGCCTCCAAAGGTAAGATTACCCAATCTTACATCATAATTTGTCACATATATTTTTTAAAATTCTTATATACGGTCAGATGTCAGCCTGATTTTTAACCACACAAATCCAAATCAGTAGAAAGCAATAATAAAGTCATTCTATCATCGCTCAGATGGCTCGTCTTCACCTGTTGGTCGTCCTTTGTGTGATCGTTGCACTGAGCCAAGCTGTAAGTCAAAATATGACAACCTGACGCATCTTGATAGTTTGGTGTTTCGCTCTCTAAATTGGGCAATGTGCTCTTCTTCTTTGTCGTCTTCACAGAGGTTCAGCAATAAAATAGAAGGTAGGGTAGTTTGATTATATCCTGCTCATATTTAACATTGCGGCGGAAGAATTTGATGCCCAAAAATTGTGTTGCAGACCATAACTGTCCTGAAGGCTGGACTCAGCTAGATAAGTACTGTTACATCTTCGAGCACGAGCCCAGGACCTTTTCAGATGCAGAGGTACAGAAGACTTTTACAGAGGAGTTATGCATACAGTCTACAGACAGTAGAATGTCTGATACTGTCAACTTTCATGATATAATAAACCAACGTGCAACCGTTGAAAATGCTGTGCTTATCTTTTTCTCTCCCACCAGAGGGTCTGCACCATTCTCGGCGGGAATCTGGCCTCGATCAACAGTCGCCTAGAAAATGCAGTGGTTGTTGAGCTGATTCGGGAGGGGGCTGGTTCTGTCGTAGACACCTGGATTGGACTCCATGATGCAATTCTGGTGAGAAACCGAGCAGTACAACAGTTCTGATTGGATCAAGTCACCGTGTTTACAAGAAGAGTTTTGCCACATCGAAAATGAATGCGTGTTTCAGGCTAAGTCTTGTCATCAACTTCAAGGAAGCAAGTGTCGAGTTTTGTTTTCATCATAGCTGTTTTAGGATTTCAAGGGAGGAGAACCTGGTGCCCTGGAACTTGTCCTGTAGCACCTTCTAGAGGTTGACATGTGTCAAACATCTCCAGCCAAGACTAAAACTGATGTCACTCGTTTGAGGTTCAGACGTCATAACATCCTAAATAATGACCCAACATTTGTCTCTTGTGCCCCACGCTGCTGGCTCAGTCTTAAGCTGAGATTTGTGTCTAAAATGTGACTTTACCTTACAGGAAGACAATTTCATATGGACCGATGGTGAAACCTTTAAGTTCTCAAACTTCGGTGCTGGCCAGCCTGACAACACTGGTGGAAATGAAGACTGTGTAGAGATTCGAGGGGGTTTGTATACTTAAGAATATTTCGGAAGGAGAATATTGTGTATCCTGATGTATCATAAAACATCTTTTCATATTGCAATAAGGTAAGCTGATGTTTATTTAATACAAGTATGTGTTACCTTTTCTGTGAAAGTGGCGCACTGAACCCTATTTTGTGTATTTTTTTTCTTGCAGACTCACTGTGGGATGACGATGAGTGCACCGACTTAAACCCATTTGTTTGCATCAGACCCGTGGAGGAAAAAGATCACTAATCAGCCGTTTTACCATGTGATCTTCTCGAGTAATATATTTGCTAACTTTGAGATCAGATCTGTGCTCTCATTCAATGTTCATTAGAGGTTCAGTCACCTGTTTGCCATCAGTTAAGCTTATTTTCATGGGTAGCCTATCTTTTCAATGAATTAACATTTTCTGAGCATGACAATATGTTTGAGTGTTATCCCCCCAACCACCACCAACACCCTGTGACCATTTTTAACATGCTTCATCATGGAATGGTAGTCAAACAACAAAAATCCAATTTGACCTTTTGCTGCTTTATTTCCCAATGGATGTAGACAATAAAGGGTTGCTCTTCTGTTCATTTTAAATGTTTGTTAACACAGTTCGATACTTCAATCTAGGTTAGCTGAAACCCTTTTTATTACATTTAGTTTTCTATCATTTTATCTTTATTGGCAATTGATCATCATCAAGTAATGCAGTGTATCTATACCAATCAGTAAAAATGAGAATATTTTTATTTTGATCACATTTTTATGACAAACACAAAATACGTTAATGTGTGTGTTTAAAGGGGAAGTCACACATTTTTTAATGTTTTTTTTTTTTTACAATAATAAGACAATACATTCTTGGCAGCCATACTAGTCTAAACACGGTATTCACATTAATATTGTATTTGGGGAATATGAGTTAAGCAGTAAAATCCACCCGTTTTTGTCTATTTTAGCGGCCATTTTGCCAGTTGCTTTCCACTGAAAATGACATCACAGTTTCTCAGGGCTCATGTAACAACCAATCATCGCTTAGCTTCAGAAAACAGGTGAGCCGTGATTGGCTTCAAGAAGCATCCATTGATTTTTTTGAACCGGTCACTCTCAGTGGAAATTTAATGTAGCCACAAGGGGGCACAAGCCACAATCTTATTGTGCCGGTCCCAAGCCCGGATAAATACAGAGTGTTGTGTCAGGAAGGGCATCTGATGTAAAATTTTGGCCAAAACAAACATGCGAATCAAACCTTCGAATTTCATACCGGATTGGTCGAGGCCCGGGTTAACAATGACGACCATCGGTGCTGTTGACCTACAGGGTGCCGGTGGAAAATGGACTACTGTTGGTCAAAGAAGGAGGATGTGTGTCCGTAGGAAGAGAGGGAAGTGGAACGCCAAGAGTATAGTACTGAGAGTAGGGATTTTGAATGTTGGAACTATGACAGGAAAAGGTAGAGAGTTGGTTGACATGATGCAGAGAAGGAAGGTAGACATACTGTGTGTCCAGGAGACCAGGTGGAAAGGTAGCAAGGCTAGAAGCTTAGAATCGGGGTTCAAGTTGTTTTATCTTGGTGCAGATAGGAAGAGAAATGGAGTAGGAGTTATCTTGAAGGAGGAGTTCGTTAGGAATGTCAAAGAGGTCATGATGAGTCTGAAGCTAGAAATTGAAGGTGTGATGTTGAATGTTGTTAGTGGGTATGCTCCACAGGTAGGATGTGAGTTGGAGGAGAAGGAGAAATTTTGGTTAGACCTTGATGAAATGACACAGAACATCCCTAGAAGCGAGAGAGTTGTCATTGGTGCAGACTTTAATGGACATGTTGGCGCAGGAAACAGAGATGATGACGAGGTGATGGGCAGGTTTGGACTCCAGACAAAGAACGCAGAAGGACATATGGTGGTGGACTTTGCTAAGAGGATAGAAATGGCTATATGAATGCCTTTTTCAAGAAGAGGCAGGAACATAGGGTGACCTATAAGAGTGGAGGCAGGAATACACAGGTAGACTACATTTTGTGTAGACGGTGCACTCTGAGAGTTGAGTTGAGTTGAGAAATCAGCGACTGCAAAGTAGTGGTAGGTGAGAGTGTGGCCAGACGGCATAGGACGGTAGTGTGTAGGATGACTCTGGTGGTGAGGAAGATGAAGAGAGCAAAAGCAGATCTGAGGACAAAATGGTGGAAGGTGAAAAGGGAAGAGTGTCGCATAACTTTTAGGAAGGAGTTGAGACAAGCACTGGATGGTCAGGAGGTGCTTCCAGATGACTGGACAACTACAGCTAATGTGATCGGGAGACAGGTAGGAAAGTACTTGGTGTATCATCTGGAAGGAAAGTAGAAAAGAAGACTTGGTGGCGGAATGAGGAGGTGCAGGAGTGTATACAGAGAAAGAGGTTAGCTAAGAAGAAGTGGGACACCGAGAGGACTGAAGAGAGTAGACAGGGGTACAGGGAGATGCAGTGCACGGTGAAAGTCGAGGTGGCGAAGGCCAAACAAGAGGCCTACGATGACTTGCATGCTAGGTTGGACAGTAAGGAGGGAGAGACTGATCTATACAGGTTGGCAAGACAGTGATAGTAAGGACGTGCAGCAGGTTAGGGTGATGAAGGATAGAGATGGAAATGTATTGACAGGTACCAGTAGTGTGATAGGAAGATGGAAAGAGTACTTTGAAGAGTTGATGAGTGAGGAAAATGAGAAAGAATAAAGAGTAGAAGATGTGACTGTTGCGGACCAGGAAGTAGCAAAGATTAGCAAGGATGAAGTGAGGAGGGCACTGAAGAGGATGAAGAGTGGAAAGGCACTCGGGCCTGATGATTTACCTGTGGAGGTATGGAAGTGTCTAGGAGAGGTGGCAGTGGAGTTTCTGACTGGGTTGTTCAACAAGATCTTAGATGGTGAGAAGATGCCTGAGGAATGGAGGAGAAGTGTGCTGGTGCCCATTTTTAAGAACCAGGGAGATGTGCAGAGTTGTACTAACTACAGAGGAATGAAGTTGATGAGCCATACAATGAAACTATGGGAAAGAGTGGTTGAAGCTAGACTAAGCAGATGTGAGCATTTGTGAGCAGCAGTATGGTTTCATGCCAAAAAAACAGTACAACAGACGCAGTATTTGCTTTAAGGATGTTAATTGAGAAATACAGAGAAGGTCCGAGGGAACTGCATTGTGTCTTTGTAGATCTGGAGAAAGCGTATGACAGGGTGGCCAGAGAAGAAATGTGATATTGTATGAGGAAGTCTGTTAGCACGGTGCAGGACATCTATGATGACTGTAAGACAGTGGTGAGGTGTGCTGTAGGTGTGACGCAGGAATTCAAGGTGGAGGTGGGACTTCATCAGGGGTTAGCTCTGAGCCCCTTCTTATTCACTATGGTGATGGACAGGCTGACAGACGAGGTTAGACAGGAATCTCCATGGACTATGATGTTTGCAGATGACATTGTCATCTGTAGTGAGAGCAGGGAACAGGGGGAGGGACTAGGGACGTGGAAGTTTGCCCTGGAAAGGAGAGGAATGAAGGTCAGTTGCAGCAAGTCGGAGTACATGTGTGTGAATCAGAGGGACCCAAGTAAAAGAGTGAGGTTATAGGGAGAAGAGATAAAGGAGGTGGAGGATTTTAAGTACTTGGGGTCAACTGTCCAGAGCAATGGAGAGTGTGGAAAAGAGGTGACGAAGCATGTACAGGCAGGCTGGAATGGCTGGAGAAAAGTGTCAGGTGTGATGTGCGATAGAAGAGTTTCAGCTAAAATGGAAAGGAAAGATGGATAAAACTGTGGTGAAACCAGCCATGCTGTTTGGACTGGATACAGTGCCACTGAAAAAAGACAGGAGGCAGAGCTGGAGATCGCAGAGATGAAGATGTTGAGGTTCTCTTTGGGAGTGACCAGGTTGGATAGGATCAGGAATGAGTACCGGTACATCAGAGTGACGACTTATGTTAGAGGTTTTGGAGAAAATGTCAGAGAGGCCAGACTGAGATGGTTTGGACATGTTCAGAGGAGAGAGAGTGAATATATTGGGAGAAGGATGCTGAGTCTTGAACTGCCAGGCAGGAGGCCGAGAGGAAAACCAAAGAGGAGGTTTATCGATATAGTGAAAGAGAACATGAAGATAGTGAGAGAAGAGGATGCACAAAACAGGGTTAGATGGAGGCAACTGATTCGCTGTGGCAACCCCTGAAGGGAAAAGTTGAAAGGAAAAGAATAAGACTCTCTGGATGGCAGAGGAGCTAACAAGCGCCTCCAACTCCGAGGCTGTAATTGTGAAGACGAGCGTGTCGTGGCCTCAATCTCAAAAGTGCACGACCAACGGTGAAATGCTTTGTCCAGAGCGTTGGCAGTTTGTTTAAAGTGTACAGTATCAGGATTTTGTAAATTTGTGTCCTCGACATATGCTGAATATTACAAAGGCATGCAGTTAATTAATTGGACAAATGACCGTTGTGATGGAAGATTGAAGTTGGGCAGTTGATCTTTTCCAGATGCATTTGAAAATTTAAGTATATGAAGATACGCTTTCATAAAAATAAAAACATTAAAAACAGGCATATGCACAAAGAGTATTTTACATCTCGTGAGGAACTGCGCGGCCCTCTGCTGCCCCCCAGTAGCACTGATGGAAAAATTGTGTCCCCCTCCATCATTTAAGTTGCCCATCCCCGGTCTTATGTTGGATTTTCACCTATCGCAGCAGGGTCCCAACTACTGTACATCACATGATCAAGGGCGGTTCACTGAAACTCAAACGCAAACCTGTTTTGTACCAAAAGGGTAAAATATGTCTAAACACGGCATTGATAGATCTGGAGGGCATTGTGTGTCCACGTCCATCCATCCATCCATTATCCGAGCTGCTTATCCTCACGAGGGTCACGGGCGTGCTGGAGCCTATCCCAGCTGTCTTCGGGCAGAAGGCGGGATACACCCCGAGCTGGTTCCCAGCAAATCTCAGGGGACACATAGACGAACAACCGTTCATACTCACAGTCACAAAGAGGGACAATATAGAGTGCTCAATTAACCAACTATGCATGTTTTGGAATGTGGGAAGAAACCGGAGTCTGTAGAGAAAGCCCATGCAGGCATTGGCAGAACATGCAAACTCCACACAGGAAGGCCGGAGCCCGGAATAGAACGCCAGACCTCCGTATTGTGAGGCGTGCTAACCACTCGCCCACCGGGCCACCGTGTCCAATCCTCCGTATGCAAATAACACATGCAGGGAAAGCAACACACTCACAGTCATAGAAGCATTCACACCCAGTGGTTTGCACCAAAACAAGTTTGTCAAAGACGATTGAAAGTGTTCTTTTAAACGGCTAATGTTTGTATGTAAAATTGGACAAAAGTCCAATATCTGAAACCACCAGGCATAGGAACCCCTTGAATACGATGATCATTGTGGTATAATTTCATTCGTCATTATGTT